CAAGATCAAGATTTGATCGCGAGTATTAGAGACTTACTTTGAGTTTTTGAGTGTGACCGCATCGACAACAGCAATACGACATGTAGTCGGGTAGCGCGGGCATGAACCTCAACTGTTCCTGCTGCGAGTACTCGTCCACGAGTTTACGATAATGCACCCTGAAAATGGGCCTCGTTGCGCTCTGCGAGGCTTTACCAAGGCGTCCCATAATCGCAGAGAATGCGGCCGGGATATTGCGCCTGCGTGCGAACCTCCTCATGCCACAGCGTCCGTTGTGCTTGCTCGTCCTCCTGAATCGCTACTCCGTCCTACCTTCGGCTCACGGAAAAGAAAGGAAACGAGGTAACGGAGGTGTCCTCCTACGGACGGACACCGCAGTCGCGCGCGCGGAAAGATATCGTGCGGCAATTGGCTTCTACTTAATAATGGAGCAACGATTCGGCATTACTGTCACATCCGGAGAAGCTTGCGCCGGCTCGCAGCTCGCGTCGCTCTTTCGCACTACCAACATCAATATTCCACACATTTCCGGTCACACGTTCACGACACCACGTAGCGCACTTTCTAATGCATGAAGCACCAGCGGTACCGATGTATCGGCACGCTAAAGTATTTACTGTTACCGAAACGCCTTTCTCTCCGAGGAGGGTATGTCCTCCTACGACGATATTCCTGCGACGCCTGTAACGGGCCTCTGAGAAATCACGAAGTCGTATTCTACATCTCCAGGAGCGGTACCAACACGCCTCTCGTTCCTCGCGCGGCTCACGCGACTGGAAATGTCGGGAATGTCGACGCAACATCCATTCTGGAAGGTGTCCGTTCGGCCGGTTCGTCCGCCAAGGCTGCTCCTTCCTCCGTGGGATCCGCGATCGCGGATTTCCTCCCGCGGCGTTCAAGTCTCCCGCGATGCTCGGTATTGTTAGCAGGTGACGATCGCGATGTCATGGATCCGCGAGACCGGTCCTACCGGCCTACGTGCGGCACACGCATGGAGGATCGTGAGTTCCACTTGGATGGCGTGCGTAGTCCCTCTCGCTACGTGTCGTTCTGCATGCCGAGCCGCGGAAACCGGTTAACGAGTCCCGAGCCGCTTCTCGCGTCTTACTCGTCGACTGTCAACTACACATATAGTCGCTATGTTCTTCTACGCCGTGTTTTCCGACGGAAACGACTGCGGGACAACCGCCGTCACCGACACCATGTTGGGATCGTACCCGGCAGCCGAGTACATTCGCAATCGCAATTCCCTCACGTAGCCGCCGGTACTGTAGGTCCAAGAGGATTGGCGGTAACGAGAGAAAGGTCGCGGATTGGTCGATTCGAGTAAATTTCGTAGACCCCGATAGTGCCTTTCCTTTTGCTGCACCCTAGTCTCAGTTACGTTTCCGCGTGGGACAGTTGAGTCAAGAGCGCACCTTGTGCTATTTCGGGCTATTTCACGTGGCAAATTCCAACGCCAAAGCTCCTTTCGGCATCGCTCTGGTCGGGCATGGCCGAGTCTGGTGCCAGCGCGGCGGAGCTCGGGAATTCACGCGGGAGGCGAGTTGTTCGTTAAATTGGACGGTTTAAAGAGCGCGAGAGGCTCGATCCACGCGTATCCTTTCTGCTGTCAACTGGAGAAGCTACCGAGTGAACACCGGCGGTGGATCCTGCTACCTTCCTGTCCATTCCACGCTCCTTCTATCACACTCCAGCGCACGTCGCCGTCCAGGTGCCGCCGCCGCCGCCGCCGCCGCCGCTACTCTCGGGCGGTCGGAGCACGCAAAAGCCGCCTACCTGTGTAACGTGCTAACCGGCACGGCGATGGCAATACCTCCCGGTACGTATAGAGAGAGACTGAAGACCATGAGGAATACGAAGCGAGAGCACCGCGCCACTCTGCCGACCCACACGGTTCCATCCCCACCGGGGCGGCTGGAAGCCGAGCGGTGCGACCGACCGACCGACCGCTTTCTTGCTTCAACCGCGGCATTGAACACGTTCAACGGCAGCTGTTGAATACCACGTGTCCCCGTTCTTCCTCTCACCCTCGCTGTCCCTCGTTCTCTCTCCTTCTCCTGCTGTCTGGCTGCCTGTCTGTCTGTCCCTTTCTGCCTCTCTCTTTCTCGGTCCCTCTCATGATCTTTTCCACGGCTTCTTACTCTTTTTACCCTACCTCGGTCGAGAACGCCACTTGAAAGAGAGAGGAAGAGAGAGAAAGAGAGAGAGAGAGGAGAGGAGAGAGGACAGAAGAGTAGACAGAGAGAACCAACGCCGCACGGAGCGCATGAGTTTGCGATTCGCGTTCTTTGACCTGCCATCAGCGCGGCGCGGCATGGCGCGCCGCTTGATCGCGGACTTCGGACTTGAACTCGCATCGTGTCCACGGATGGCGAAGTACCTAGGTGCAAGTACTTCTCTTTGTACCTAGATGTGTTTTGAAGCACTTTGGCTGGATGTGTTTTCCAGCACTGGAGATACCTACGTTAGGTACTCCCTTGCGCTTCATAGTGAATACCAGCAGTAGGTACTTCCTTGAAGGCACCTGTACCCTTTTTCCAGGCGCATTCTTTTGAGTTGTGTGAAGAAACGATACGAATTGCTAGTTTGCTGCGAAGGCATCGTTCGAAAGTCGCCAAAGTGCAAAGTTATTGACGTTAAAGTTTCGTGCGAGATTTTCGATGAATTTTGAGGGTGAAGTGGTTTAAACATTCTTCTCGAACACATACACGCTATCTTTTCATAATCCTCAAGTTTGAAATTTTCTCTCGGTCTACGTAAGCAATCTGGAGGAACACGGTGTTGGAGAAACTCCTTTCAAAGTTCGGAAATTTACACGAGATAGAAACCGACAGTTGTGTGTACCACACTGTATCTTTGTAGCATCGTTTGGGCTTTAAACAGAAACTGGAAAACAATGCGGTTACACAATATTAAGTACAAAGAACTTTTTTATAATTTAATTGTTCACAAATTGATTACGATTGTTTTTCAACTTAAATTCTGAGACTGGTAGTAGAAGGAAATCCATTACGTAAATCCAAAGCGTAAATTTAAAGAGAAATTGGAAAAATAGGGATTTTAGTGTGGGTCTACATGGAACTGGATATTCAATCATTTAGAGAGTGTACAATGCAGCATTCCACTTTAACAAGTAAAACGAGGAAAAAGTCACACGGCAATTCGTTCTCCTACTTTTATTTCAGAAAATAATTTTTAATCTCGCGTATTTCCCCAATTTGCGTCCGCATATCGACAAATCGCTCAGCACAGACCGTAGAAATTGCACGGCGAACTGAAGTGCGCGCGAATATCGACTGCGTCGACGAGCGTGGAAACGTCCAAATATCCGGCCGGTCTTTAAGACGCTTCTCATTTTCCGTTTCTATTCTCTCGGTCTCTTATGCTGTCGAACTATGCCTCCCCGATCTGAGATCTCCAAGCGCGATGACATTCTTAATTCAGCGGAAGGTATTTAAAGTTTAATCCGAAGAGTGCGCCATTAGGGTTGACTAAATGTCAAGCCAATAGCGAAGTGCAAAGTTCCAAGTGCAAAGTCTACTATTCTCAACCCACCATGCTCGCCAACTTACAGCTCTATCCTTTCTGATATCGCCGATGGACCTCGGCAGCCTCGAGCGATGCTATTTTCCAGACAACAGGAAGAGGCTTTTAGGTCCTGGGATTTGTCGGTAGTCGTCGCTGTATCGACGTCCAACGATATTCGCCGTGTGTTCACTGTCCGAACACGTTCTTTCCCCTGACACTTTGCGCCCGATTATTGCGACTTTCGACGAGCAAGACCAACGTGACGCTCTGCGACCACATTTTAGACTTGAGGTGATTTCAGGAAATTAATCAAACATATTAGAGAGAGGAAGTATAGTGAGTCTAATATTGTTCCCTTGAAACTGCATCATATTATGGTTGCATCATATTATCGTCAATCCCGTGTGAAAAGTCCCGAGGTGGTGCCGAAATAACTTCAAAGTCCCCGTGCAGGTCAACATTCCTGGTTTCTTACAGACAGGTCAGAACCGCAAGAACTGAAAACAAATCGTTAGAGAGGGAATGTTCTATTGTCCGTCTTGTTCTTTGCGGTATGTATCCCGATCTCGTTTTAACGAATTCTGTGACATTACTGTCACCAGGATGTAAAGCACCACCGCGGTATTGAATTCGGAGGATTGCAAAGTGGGTCAACGGAGAAACAGCAGAAGACGTGGGTGGTATATAAGGGAAACCAAATGTTTCCTTGTTAACAGGGTTTCGTCCTAAACACCGAAATAGTCACCCATAGCGTGGGGAACGATCCATCGGCTTTAAACGTCGAGACAGTTTCCAGTTTCCACTTGAGACGCATGCGGTTGTCCACTGGTAAGGGGCGACCTGTCACGTATAGTATTTTGAACCAAATCCCGGGTTACCGCGTCGGCGATTTATATTAGCCCGATTTACTCGGAATACCCTGAATATGAGCAAGAAATGGAATATATTCTGTTACATATCTCACCCTTCATCGTGCACGTTCTCTGGTACGAGTGTCTACCTTAATTTACATACGCAAAATCGTCTACCTAACCTTATCATATCGACTTGAACCACATCAGCGTTTCATATTCAATATCATAACGACGATATGTGTGTATGTGTGTGTATTCACACAGATATTTATTTTCAGTTTAACATAAAAGCAATTCTGAATGTCCGTCGTATATTAATAACTTTTTTCGTACATGTGCAAAATCAAACTGACTGGAGTCAAAAAACAACGATGATATCGATGTTCCTTCCTTTCATTAGAGAGGACTACAAACTTTTACGACCAAAATGTCTTTTTAATGATTGAGTTTTTATAGTCTCAACAAGTTGACTTTATGAAGTTCGATTTACAGTACTCGGCTTTTTACACTTGTACGTATCGAAACTTGATAGTTCCTTGCATGTGCCCTTTAAATATTATCTCCTCTCCGGTCACGTTCGCAAAGAGACAAAATTTCAAAGAGAAAGTCACTGACCTGTTCTGCAGACTCGGTGATGAAGGAATGGCAGTACTGTAGACTAAAGTGGGCCCTGGGTTCCCGCGCTAGAAAGCTGAATTGGGCATGCTGCGGCTCACAAGTCGCGTAAGAAATGCGTCTTAACGCGTGCGCCATTTGCACGCACTGTAACAAAAATAAAAAAGATTTTTACGATTAAGATTGTAAGAATGTTGAAATGTTGAATATAGCAAATTGAAGCAACGTTGTAGCTACCACGTGACAAGTAATATCTTAAGTGAAAGAAATAACAATTATTTAAATATATTTCAAGTTATATGAAATATTACTTGATAATATTATTTGTCCGCGAGTGCATTTGATTTTTGTAAAGTACAAACGATTTCGATGCCAATTTATGCGGAAAAACTCCCTTTATTTTGACGTTCTTTCAAGAAATACCCTTGAATAATGTTGCAATATTGGCCATACTGTTATATCGCGATATTCGATGACTCGATAGTTCACAAGTTTGGATTGTGCTCACGCGGCGGGCAGGAATAAAAAAATAATTCGTTTCAATGTGTCCCTGACTGACGGCTTCCGAAGCATTTTTGAGAGCGAACGTCATGTTGAGCGCAAACAAAAATGATTTACGAGCGTTTTATTATTGCTCGCATCCTGTTGAATGATTTAATCGTCTGAACGGTAAATCCCACTGTGATACGTTGCGCGTGTATTGTGTTAAGACCTGTGCAAGAAACTAACATCCTCATTAGGCAGGATATATCACCATAAATATCACTTACGTGTATCACGGCTCGTTAGGAACCTTAGCAAAGTCCAAGTGAGACGTGCAGAATGAGATAATTAAAGGATACAAAAAAAAAATACAAGATCGTGATACCGATGGAGAAATTATTTGACAGATTGAAGTTGCACGATATGAGGCTGTTCTATTTTTGCGATATTATTTTCGGTAAGCAACTCAACTTTCGAAGCGTCAAGACATTCGGACTTCTCGAGCATTTAGCCAGTAAAAATAAGAACTGTTTGGCGAACTAGTTAGTACTGTTTTCCAGGAGAAAAAAAATAGTCCGCGAAATTACTTATTTCAGTTTGTTCCGAGCGAGTTTAGGCTTTGCTTTAATAGACTTTTAATCCTACACTGTCGGTGAGGATACACGATAGCAAAACTTGGACTGTGTTCGCTGAAACTCGCATAATTGGCGTCATTTGATACTCACTCAGATGCTGGAAAGATATCAATTAAAAAGTTGCGCCGATAATGAGACGATCAATTCGATTGTTTCGCGGCATATCGTTACATCTCGATGATGGCTCGTTCGACGCGTCGTGAAGCGGAGAGAACGGATAGTTCCTAATTATTGGCCACTCGAAAAACTCGCAACGTCTTCGGCCGGAGTTTCGTTCTGAAACTTTTAATGACTCGCCGCGCAACGAGCTTCATTCGCCTAAGAATACAACGACGACGCTCGAAACGCGTATGAGCTTTCGGGCGGGCATTTGATTGTTGGACTTCCGTTCGAAAGACTTCGATCGCAGTTCTAGACAGACTTTGATCGATTCGTCTATCACAGGAGGTTTGCGTATATTTTCCGAGGAAATTCAAACCAATTCAATCTCTTCGACTCTTTTCAGACTCAATTCAAACTCTTCGTCTCAGAGTTCGATTGTATGCTGTCGCGATTTTGACAAATTCGCGCTAACCGTTTCGACTTCACTTGTAACGCGCACGTAGACTTTCTTGGACGATAAAGTGACAGTTCGTGTGAAACATAATACATCGTCGTCGTCGTCGTGATTATATTCGCTATACACGCTTCAGAACAACGGCACTTTTAAACGCACTTTTCATTACGGGACATAAATTTTTAAAGCCGCCTATAAACTTGATAGCCGGTGCGAATAAAATTCGTCAATGCGTACGGCGAGCGACATTTTCGTTTCCTTCTTGGTTACCGGTCGCCGAGATTTCGCCGATGTCCCGGCCAAGGAATTTTATATCTCTGCGATGGACGCTTTTGCGTTCGCCCTCACTATTTTATTACACGGTCTCGCGAAAATACATCGAGCGTGTTTACAATCTCTTGCGCACGTTCTATTAATATTTATCTGCCCATTGTGTCGCGCGACGCTTTGCACTTGCGCACACTATAGACGCTATAGACAGACAGACAGAACGTAGCTTTTTCGGTACGTAGAAAAGCTTTCGTCTCCCTGCAGAAGGAACTGCACATTTCCGTGGCGCAGTTACGCTGATATCAGTCCATTTTCAACATATTTGGATATTTCGATGTTGTTGTGCAGTCGCAAACAAATTATATATTAATAAACATGCTGTTGTGTTAAATTCGGTATATTTCAACGCGTTTAGATATGCCCAGCGTTGCAATCGTAAGTAAATAATGTATAAGTAAGCACGCGCTGTGTACACGCAATTAAGTTTAAAACTCTGCCTGTGAAAAGAAAAAAAGTGTCACCTCGGAATACTTCAACTCGGATTCTCCATTCTACATGAAACGTTACTTTTTTCTTGACGTCCTCGTTGAAATTGTTTGCCATGAAAATTTGAGACTCCTGAAGTTTCCTCGACATAATATTTCTCTCTTGTGCCGTTATCGCGCTCGACTTCTCAATCTCAAGTAGGAGAACGATTTCATCTTCGAGCTACCAGCGTGATATACTTTTCTAAATTCGTCTCTCGCGGAAGTGAGCATGGCGGAGTGCGAGCGAGTAGAATGGTGATTGAAAAGATGATCGTACCGTAGGAGCGAATTTTCCGGCAAGGGATATTCCGCGATTCTATCAGGCTGAATTTTTCATGATGTCTGCATTTACTCGAAGTAGCAAACTTCTACGTGAGAAAGATACAAATGACCGGGCTCGATGAGAGGCCGCTTTTACTTGCGTTCCTTGAGTGGACATCATTCGGACTCGGGTCTTTTACTACCATTGTTGAATTACTTCATCAAAATGCAAGTGAATCCTTCGGCTTAATTCGATCATGCACTGAGAGAAATTATTCGATAAAAAATTAACAAACGGATATTTCCAATCAAAAAACCGATGAATTTTTGTATCCAATCAGGAAACATTCGGTGAGAAATATCAGTTCATAATTTTTTGATCAGTTTATCTAATAAAATAACAATCGAAAAGTTTTTGATAAAATTTAACCGGATATCCTAACCAGACATAAAAATTAATTGGAAATATCCGTTTGTTAATTTTTTATCGAATAATTTCTCTCAGTATGCGACTCGTGATAACGATACCCACGTCAGATGACACAATGAACAAATTAGTAATACCAGGACGAATCGTTCTTTTACCCGGATGTAATCTTATCCCGATATAATCGTAAGAAAGTAGCGTTACACGAATTTTACAAACTTCAAGAATATTACACAGGCTATTGTCCACAATATGGTTATAAATGGTATTGGCTACAAATTTTTATCTTATACTATGTTCTCCATGTTCAATTGTCTTTAAAAAATGGACTAACTAAAGTTATTTGGATATATTATGTATACTTAATTTTTAATTCCAGTAAGTGACGCATTAATTGTGGGGCTTACTTAACTGTAGATAAAGTACGTATTATAAGTGAATATTAAATAATCTAATAAAGATTAATGGAGAATATAATTAATGGATAAGTAAAACAACTTTTTATTTTGTTACAGATTTTTTTACTTTATAATCTCTTTATTTTTTATTTTATTGATGTTGGAAATGTATATATATTGAATACGTATTTGGAAATATATGATGTATCGCTGTCTGCGTTCCGGTATCCTGCATCTTTCGTCTTAGCTTCCGATTCAACATCCTACACTCGATTGTACCATCGTGGCACTTCATATACTAGTTCGCGGCATTGATACTCTTGTAGATAAAATTCGATTGGAAAAGCGCATGTTAATTATGTATAACACCATGCCAACGAAAGCCTGATTAAATATTTCAAGAGTCGACGAAAAGTTTTGTGTAAATGTAATATTCGGTCACGCAAAAGTATGTGAGACGCAGGAATAGCAAAAAAAAAAGAATCGGTAAGAAGAACAGTCATCCTTTGTCCTCAAATGTCAACAGTCGTTACTCGTCAATAAACGCCGAGGGATCGTAGAATCAAAACATCGCGAACCTTCGAGATGGCCAAACTTATTCTGGTTTGCAAACTTTCTTCTAGTGTTTCCATTACAGTTCAAGCCGGTGAGCGATACACATGTTACGGACTACGTGTATCCATACGTTACTTATCACTTTCATCGCGTGATTAAAATATTTTGTCGGTCTTTGGAATTTAATTAATTGGCGTGGTGTTATATAAACGACGTTATTTTAACGCGTGTATTTTCGATCAAATCGTATCTACGAGTATTAGTGTCAGTGTTACAACGCAACAGCCAGGAGAATTGATTTGGAAGCCAGGACGGAGAACGCAAGACGCCGGGATGCGAGCGGGCATACATCATATATTTCCAGGTATGTCAAATCATTTATTGCACGAGAGATTTCCTATTTTAATGGACGTTTCGCGAACTTATCAAGAATAAACAAGTATTCGAGGCGAAATCTAAATCGGCATTCGTGGTCCATTCATATTTGACAAATAGTTACAATATAAATATCTGATTGTTTATCAGCCTGTACCTATTTTTATTACATAATTTCGTATGAGAAACGTTGATCCAAACAACTGAATAACGGTCGAGGATAACGTTGGAAGTGGACCAACTATGCCGGAGCAACTTTACGTAATATCTATCGTTTTTGACGCGTCAAACGACATTCTCGAGAGAATCTGGTCGAGTTTGTCGTATTCCGTGGTAGGACACTGATAAACGTTGTTATTGTCGTATCTCACTATCGCTTGTCTTCGTTCATCTTTATCTTTTTATGATGGAATACGTAGTTCCAGCACTCGCGCTCTCCAGCACTATGAGTTCTGTAAACCTGTAATGTCCTATCGTCTTCGGATACTTAGAATCAGAGATTTACAGCGAGTGTGGCGAAATCCGGTCGCGGACGCAAAAATATATTATTGCACACCGACAAAGAAACCATCGATATTGAGTCAAGATTTATTTAGAACCGTTAAGTTATATCCTTTCATATTTCTTCCGACGGGGTTATTGGAGTAAAGGTTGAGTGTAAAGGTCAATGGAAATATTTGGTTTGACCATACCTCCATTATTTTTCTCCCTTTAATATATCTGAGAATATATCTGAAAATTTATCATCAATTAACGTATGATTATTTAAAAAACATTATCAGCGATATAGATGCCGAATTCGCGCTATTCGAATTTCATTCCGCGCTGCATTTTTCATAAAAGTTACGAGGTTATGAACCGAAAACTGTCTTGAACATTTTTAAAAACTTTTGTTACTATAAATATAAGAAGGAAGATGGATTTTTCTGCGCCATTTAATAGCAAAACTTTACCGATGTCTCGTCATAACGTTCTATTGTGGGGTGCAATTTGACACGGACGTTAAACTGTGAGAGTTCGCAGTGATACTCTCGGGTTTATAAATAGTGACACAATGCCACACAAGTGCCACTGAATATATTTTTCAGTCGTTTCTTTGGCACAGATGGGAAACCTCTAAATCTTGCAAGAGTTCGATTTTTCGTTCGGTTACGGTGAAAATTTTAAGACTCGGTTGGTTCGAACATTTGGCCGCAGTAAAAAGATTTTTACGAGCTACGTCTCTAGGATTCCGTTTTCGGCCCTCTTTTCCAGATAGAACCTACGTGAGATAGTACGTGAGCATTTAATTGCTATCAAAGATGAACGAATCGACGCTTATACTTGCGCACGTGTTTGTGAGATTACGAATCCTAATTTCATCCTGTATTCGAGATTTTTCTGAGAGAGAAGATTGCGAAATCGCATTTTTCGTTCTCATTATTCCACCTCGACGCCGAGTTCGGCAGGAGCAAACAATTCGTTCGTGTCTAGGTGGCGGTGATCGATGTGTTATCGGTGTGTATATGTTATGACGAATATCTCGTAGAGGAATATCCCGTATGGCGTAGTATCGGGTAACGCCAGAGAGACGAGGACAGAGAGGCGGGAGGAGGGAGGAACGAACATGCAAAAGAGATACGCGCTGTAGCGTGAGTGCTGTTTCGTGTATGCACGAGTAAATCCGTGGGTAAAGGATAAACATATCCTGTGATCGTAACAAATGTACGAGTTCAAAAATTACACGCGCCGCTCGTCGTTGATCTTCCATAGCCATACGCGCGTTTCCGCAACCGATTCAATTTATTCTCTGGTTTACTTTACCTGCGGCGAGAACGCGCCGTGTGGTTTTGTTCCGCGGTAACAGTCCGAGCCACATACGCTGAGAAAACAAACCTCGAGTACAATGCGTGCGCGCGCTTTGCAGATCGTTTTAACAACCCGAGACGAAATTCCAACTCTATTTTTTACCTAAACTTTCTAGCATCTGTATATTCCGAAGGATCAATACAGAGAAGATCAGGGGCTAGATGTCCCAAATTTCGAAATCTCGAGGTTATAACTTCTCAGACAATTAATTGTTGTGACTGTACAAACATGATAGAGATAGCTTTCTTCTATGTATTAAGGCCCGCCACGACCCCGTTAGCCGTAATTTTACTTTACAATGATCAAAATCCAAACATATAACAATGTGACAATATCTTGCCTTAGTACCGGGTTCAGTTGTAGCGTAGGATAAGAAAGCTATGTATAAAATATATATTCTGGTTAGTAATTCCAGAATTTGCGTGAGAAGTCTTCACAGCCCTTCTGTCGGCCCTTAATTATGAGTCATCTTTACCTCGTCCGCTCATATGCTCTATTTCAACCATTTTATGAATGAAAATTGCATTTATTACCAGAAACAGTATATTATACTCTTGCAAAAAATTTTATTCTAGCTAGTAATATTACTAACACATTGCTTAATTTTATTCAGTCACGATGGAGAATATTAATACAAAATTTTGAGAGACTCGAAAACTTACTTTGCTATTATCAAATCAGTTTTTCTCTATTTCTTAATTATAATATTATCCCGATTTTAATGGAACTCAGAGAAAAGTATTTATGTTCTAAAAGAAGCATTTTGTGTACCCACAATTCCTCTCAAGATAAATACTTAAACGAAGCACATGAGCAGCATACCTCTGGGACCATATAGTCCCGGTCTTTCCTACGTGTAATACACATAAAAACCGAAATTCTACTTAAACGCTTTTAAAAGCCATTTATAAAGAGGACCTCTCGGCAAACTTAGCAGGTTAAATGGAGTCAAATGATTCAAAAGAGGTTGATGTAGGCTTCAGGATAAAATAGGCGTGAAGTGAAATATTAAAGCCGCAAATAGGATCAAGATTTCGACTCGGGGATCCGTGCATCAGAGTCAATCGGAAACAGCTGATATTGACGGCCGTCGTAGTGCGCCGCGTGCGAGACAATCACAGATGACTACGGTGAAATCCCAAAAGAAAAGTCGCGTAACTCCGCTATAATCTATGTGAAACGACGGCGTAACGCCGGAGCGGGATAATTAGTCCGTTTAATCTACAAAGCGCGTTCCGGGCGTTCACAGGCCCTGCCGAATGTCGCGAAATCACAGGAGCGTGCGCTTCGGGAACGTGTGCGCACTCATTCGCTCGCGTACGCCCCGGCATGATCATAGAAATTTTTTAACGGTTGGCGAGGCAAAGGGCTTAATGGGGCTAAAGGAATGGAGGATCGTTAGAAGCAGCCGGGGAGAGCTTCTCGGTCGCGGCGCGCAGAAAATGGACACTGTGTACGACTCGTGGGTGGGGTGCGGGAGAGATGCGGGAGATGCGTATCATCGCGGAGTGCTGTTCCATGTATGCACGAGTAAATCCGCAGATGGAGAGTAAATACGCACCCCTCGCGATCGCGAGGCGGCTGGGCTTTACCGGTGGCGCGTCACGCATCACACGCATCCGCTTCCTCTTTCGCGTTTTGGAGGACCATGCGCGTACCGTTGTTCGTCCAACGAGCCGTCGGATTATCCGCGCGTGCACTCGCGTACATCTCATTGATACCTTATATTCCGTTGTAAATTGGAGGATCATCGAACGATGGCACGCGCAGCGCGTCTCTCCGGACCTTCTCGTCCAAGCGGCAAAGTCAAAGTGAAAATTACAGCGCGGTGATTTTGCAAAGCGCCGTTCTTTCCTCCTACTCCTCCTGCACCAATGCTTTTCCCCTAACGAATCATGCGTACGATGCGCGCGACCCTCGGTGAATTGTTCGTGACGCGTAGTGCGTGAGTGATTTTGGATAATCGCGATTTTGCGCAACGAGAGCTCAAGCGTGAAGAGATATGCGCGGTGCGAAGTGCCGAGACGGCGCGACAAATAAATTGACTAGCGAGACAGACGCGAGAGATCGAAGCGAAATCTGAAGGAACTTGTAGTTAGTGGAATCTCTCGTTAATCGAATCGACATGATTTTTCATCGTGCCAGGTCAATCTCATGTGGCTTACTCGCCGTGTATCGCCCGGGCGTTACGTAGCTTAATTGGACTGCCTCCAAGTTTCCATTCGCCTTAATCATCTTCGCGCAGTCACGTACATTCGGTATGAGCGCGGGAGGTTTCCCAGGTTTCGCACGTTACGGCATGTAATATGAAAATCGACAATTACTTCTCCGCCAAACACGGCGCATCGAGCGCGCACGAATGGATCGCTTTATCATCGTTAGACACGCGAAAACTTACGAGAGAGGGCTGTTATATATACATTTACTTGAAAGATTGCGATACGAGGGTTCGACTTAACTTGCGATTGAGACCAAGTGATTTACACTCGAATCGTTTCCTCTCGGCCATAGGTCGATAAACTTTGGCCAGAGTGCACAAGAAGAATATTCGCTCACATTCGTTCGTTGTAGCTTGTCTTGCTCTAATTGATGTGCTCAGAGATCGTAGATGATTTAGACTGCGATAAAGAGCGCGACATCGCGAGAATAAGGGAAACGTTGCCATGTAACGATAGCGGATTGAAATTTACCGGTGGAAAAGATAAGCGTTTCACTCATGATCCGCCATGATAAACGTTTCACGAGGGATCTTTCAAGAGGTGCTCGACAAGGATCTCGGGGAGGGAGTAGGAGAAGTAAGGATTTTTTCAGGTAGAAAATTAAAGCGGGAGCTTAGGAGGAGCCCTCGAAATAAAACACTAATTCGAAGGATCGATATGTTCTGCACAGTTCGTGAACATGGCGCGCGCGCGAGGGTCGGTCGGCGCAGCCAACTTCGAAATATTACTGGCAGGGATGCGATAAGGATTATGGGTCCCCAATTAAAGTCCGGAAAATAATAAAAGACGAACAACGGCGGAATTACTTTCGTTCCATCCCTCTCGCGACGCGACGTTCCTCGTCTAGAATTCTTGAATTCGGAGAAGTCCAAACGTTTTCAAGTTAATCCTCGGATTAAGGCAAGGCGCCAATGAAATTTCAGTTCCTCACGACTTTAATGCGTTCGTTGTCCTCTTCTCTTTACGCGTTCTTTATATGCTGTAAAATGCAACTGGAGACGATTAACTGTCGAAATTCGCTGTCGAAATTTTGCGCGATTGCAACACTTGTTCCGTCTCACGATCTTCTTCACGATCTGCTTATTCGTTCGTCTCATCTCAGCTTTTCAATTTAATGATCTAATTGTCTACCTCTCTGGATTGTCTGAACCGCGTAACACAGAATTTCAAGTATTACAGAGTGAGAGTGATTCGTTCGCAGGAACACGAATACGCCGACTTTAGCATTAAAAGATTGGCGCCCCAAGGTCGACTTGAAAGGGAGATCGCACAAAGTATCGCGAGGATTATCGAACTCGGCGCTCAAGAACGCGGAAAATTAGGCTTCTCGCATTGCGGTTCAACTCTGCCGTCTCTTTCCCTCTCTTTTTCTCCCGCCATCTCATGGAAGTTCGCCTCTCTTTCTGTGCTAGCTCGTTCGTTGCTCGCTCTTTTAACTGCTTTTAACGAGGACCTTCGCGAGAAGTTTCTTACGTTTTTCAACTGTCGACATATAATGTAAATGTATGTAAACTATTCTTCTTTCATCTACGTTTTCATCATCGTTTTCCACTTATCACAAATTTTCCCTTCTTCTAACAATCAATTGCGCGCGCGTATTCAAGCATGAAAATTAAACATTCATCATAAGAAAAAGCAATAATATGAAATATTTGATAATGAAGCAGAAGTTATTTATACTTCTCGCTGCGCACTCATGAGGATAACACGACGCATGAAGGGGGTGCTTTAATGTGGTCGCACTCGTTGCAAAAAGGGCAAATTTTTCGCGCAGGAAATGGAGCTTCCTCGCCGTCTTAGAAGACGACGCCGTAGGCTACGACAAGTTTCTTTTCTATAACAACGCGCGTATACATATAAACTTACGGCATCCTTTTCCGTGAGCGTAACTATATGTGCATCTCTAGTACTCACTTTTCCATCTGGACTGCATACTTTAATCCCCGCGAGCGAGACTATCAGGAGAACGGGCGTGAATCGATCGCTGTACTGAAACAAACAGATCAGAAGTCGTACATATAGCAGCTGATTCAAAACTCTATGGTTGATGACATTAACACTCGTTTTATTTGCTGCATTTCTCACGTTAAAACTTAACGTTTTTTGACATTTCTAGAGTTATAAATATTTATATTTGTATACGTAGAGAGAGATGAGTACGATATGACTCTATTTAGGAGGAACTAGATTTAATTTCGCACTAAAGTTCTTAAATTTAATGCACGGGAATCCTTCTCATTTACACAGTCTCTTTTACACTTCTTTTTTATACGGTCGTGGCATAGAAACTATTTATTTTATATCTCTTATTTTTTATTTCACATTAAAATTCTCAAATTTAATTCGTGGAAGTCCTTCTTTTTTACACGATCGTGGAATAAAAATCATTTATATATCAACGTTTCCATTACGGGGAAAGAAAATATATCAGTTTTAAGTTCGACTTTCGTTTCTAAAGTTATAGATATTGATATATGTACACTATATAACACACATAAGGAATGATTTTGATATGATTCTATTTCATGGGAACAAGATTTCATTTCACATTAAAATTTTTAAATTTAGTTTGCAGGAATTTTCTTTACACGGTTGTAACAGAAAAACTATTTATATCTCGACATTCTCGTTATAAAAAAAAGTTATATCAGTTTTACATTCGATGTTTCTAGAGTTATAAATATTTGTACACATATACGGCTCTCGAATTTAATTTACGGGAGTCTTCCTTTTTTATATGGTTATGGCATAGAAACTATTTATATCTCGACACGTTTTCGTTATGGGAAAAAAATTATATCAACTTCCGAACGAGCGATACAGCCAGCGTGTGCACCGAATACAGCCGCTATCGAGCACCCTGTGCAAACGGGAACACGCAGTGGAGCGCAAACGGGCGATAACACGTTTATAATTTAGTCCACGTTCTTAGAAGCGCGGCTAAGGCCGCAGCATCTCCCTTCATCCGTGCTCCCCATCGGCAAGATCGAGTATCCTGCAACTTTGAAGCGGTCGTCCAATTTCGAAATTGAAAAGTTGGCAAGCCACGCGGCGTGATTCGTAGTATGGGACTCTACGCAGGGATGTTCTCTGTTTCTGGTCGGAGGCAGGGCTCATTGTCTTGAAAAGCCAAGGTAGATGCTGCTTCTGCTCGCGTACAAAAGGGGACTCCGGTATAATTATGGTAACGCACAGGACCGTGTTCGATCGAGGACACTGGCGCAATCTTTTCCTTCTTTTCTCAACACGACAATCCGTGAAATCCACCTCACTCGCAATACCTTGCTGTAGCCTCTCGCGATACTTTCAGCCGTTTCCACTTATATTACGAGACGTCTCGCGTAATTAGAACGGCGAATTTCCGTATCGACGCACAAAAGCGGCACAAAAGTTGTATTAAAGAGAAAAGCTCTTCAAGACTGTGACAAGAGTTCCTCGGTTTATAGGGATTATAAATTAACAATGTAAAAGCGATCTCGTGGCATTGACATTCTTAACATCCGCAGCACGCTTTGTTTGTGAGTGCGCGTAATGAGACATTTCGATACTACGACTGCGAAGGAGCGAGCGATAATGAGGCCGTAATTTGATGTAATACAGTTTAACGTATCTTAGCTTCAGGCGGTTTAAGAGCCCTCGTTTCTCAAGACACGACAATAATTATGCCTCCTTGCGTCTTATTATAAGAATATTCGACAATAAGGAAGGTCCTTTCCCATCAACGATGTCTTGTGTACTTTCGACTGTCTCCAGCGCGACGCTAGAGGGTTACAGCTTAATCCGTCGTTTTCTGTCGCTTTTTTGTAGTGCTTATTTATATTCAAGAAGTGCTTATTTTACTTCCCGATATAATATCTTCATCCTTTCATTGCTCCCTTGAATGTTGCGTGCAATATAAATAGATTATTACAAATAGAATTAAATGCTAATAGATATGTAACGAAAGTATAAGAGCTGCATAAAAAGAGGTAACGTTCAGTATATAGAAGATATAATGTTTAACAATGTTGCTTTGACATCTGTCTTTTATTCTGTTAAGGAGTAGCATGTCGAAATTAATTTTATGCTTCATGCGCGCGCTAACTACCGAAATTTTACATGTGCAGCAAAGAAGCTCGTTAATCTACGTCGGGAGTGAAAATTTTACAGATCGTACGGAATATCTGCGCGTTAAACGGTAATAACTTGGTGATTCACGTAGCGTGCAAAAAAAATTGCCGATTCGTTCGTGGCCAGTTGCTCGAATGGCTTGCTTGTGCGTTCGTCTTCCCCATTCGATATCCATCAGGAGACTACAGATGAGCATTCATGGTGCGCGAGTTTTTCTCTTTATTACGCTGTTTCTCCTTTTATTTTTTCTCGGCGCTGCGGACTCTGTCATCATCGAGGAATATCCGGAGCGTCGTCACGACGACGCGAATACGAAACGTCGCAATTTTCCTCGGCGTGAGGAATATGACTTCTCAGTTTTTACACGCGGCACGATATAATAAGACGTCAGAGAAATTGAAGAGAACGAACGTATTGGGTAGATGAGGTCTTGCGAAAACTTACGTTGCAATATTACGCAAAATCTAATTATAAATTGAACAGTAAGATGTTTTTTTTTCTTAATCTATCTGAAACAATTTTAAAAGTTAGAAAATGTTTTATGCAAAAATTACAACTTGTAGGCTTAACACGTCCCAATTAATTGTGTTGATCTTCACGAATGTCACACTGAGAGAAATTATCTGATAAAAAAGTAACGAATATTTCCGAAATTAAATATCAAAATACCGATAAATTTTTATATCCGAACAGGATATCCGATTAAATTTAATTGGATATTTCCGATCATAATGGCATTTCATCAGATAGATCGCTCAAAAAATTACGAACCGATATTTCTCATCGAATGTTTTTTTATCAGATACAAAAATTTATCAGTATTTTGACCGGAAATATCCGTTTGTTAATTTTTTATTGTATAATTTGTTTCAACATACCATTCTCACGAAACACTAATAAGCAATTTCTCAAGTGAGTGTTTGCTTCTTCTTCTGATGAAATCTGCAACCGCAAAGCCGAGAGAAAACTCATATAGCACGATGCCTTTGACATTCGCGCGTCTTTCTTTCGCGGTTGTGCTTATATGACATTCATCGTCGCGACAGTTACACGTGGATATCCTCGCGCGAGTCGATGCTTACCGTCTTCGCTGAGACGGAAAGGATGCACGCTGAAGTTTCAGCGAGGTGCACTGCACAAACTTGAGGTTTGCTTAAGGAAACCGCCAGACGCGGTTGCGAATACGCGGAAAAGGCGTGGTGGAAGCCTCGTCAACCGTCCGGCCTGCCGGGGTCCCGAATCCAACCCCCGTCGCCGTACATCCGTCGTTACGTGCCGACATGGTATGGGGGTTGCAGCGAATGGTTCGGGGGAACGACCGTTGCGTCTCGCAAGAACAGACTCGCGTGCGAAATTTATTCATCGACTAGCCAACGGCGAGTGACCAAGTCGTTCGTGTCTCGGAGCAGCTTTTGAGTGACCTTAATACTTCGTTTACAGCCGCGTCCGCAGACAGACGTCCGCACAGATATAGTTCGCTCGGAAAAACTCTTCTCTCGGACATTTCTCGGATCGCTCCCCTTTCCAATTTGCTAGCAGACCAAGTTACAGACAACCGATGCTATAGTTGATCCTTTCCTAATTACGGTGTCTCTTTATGCGATCTTTATATTACCTTATTACCTGCCGGTATTTCTTTCTCATCGCTATATTGGCTCTCTCATTCTTTCTCTCTCTCTCTCACTCTCTTTTTTTCTCTCTTTCTTTCTAATATTCTCTCAGCCCGGTTACTCGCTTATCCCCGAAACAATCGAATTACGTACGACGTAAGGATGTTATCCAATTACTGAGGTCGCGGCGGAAAGTAATTTGCGGGCCGCTCTCGATTATTTTTATCGCTGCTCACTATCGGCGATCGTAATTACTGTTCTAATATGCGTGCTAATAACGCGTCAGTGACGCAGATGCATGATGATGACGATAAAAACAATGGGAAAGCACTATAGCGACAATCTAGTCTCACGGTGTTAGCGCGAAAGAAGCTCCATTACTCTCGCTCCAGCGTAATCGCGCGACATAGACGAAGGAAAGAGAACAGCGACGACGGGGTGCACTTTGTACTACGCGATATGAAAACGCGTCAGCTCAGTGGTAAAACGGTTTGCACATGTTTTATCCGATAAAGTTGCAGTGCTTCAAGTTATTACAATTGAGAGCCACTGCTGGCATACGTTCGTAAGATGTAAAGTCATCTTACTTTACGAAATATATCAAAATTACTTTAAAATAATATTCTCTTATTTTAAAATATATTCTTCTCAAATTTATTATCGCGCATCTTGTACTGTCACTTCGGTTCTTGTTATAACCGATTACTGCATATTTCATCGGATGAGACCGGGATGCATTGGATAAGTTAGCAAAACCAATTATTTCTGCTGTTCTTTAACAAGTTACAGAATTAAGCAAGTGAGATTTTAAACACAACAACGACTTTGAAATTCTCGCTTGCTTGATTCTGAAATCTGTTAAAGAACAGTATAAATAATTTTGCCAACTTATCCAGTAGCCAATTAGCCTTGACTTCCTTTGTTGTAATTGAAAGCTGCTGTTGACATGCATTTGACATATTGTCTCATGTTACCTTACTTTATACAAAATACATAAAAAAAATTATTAAAAAAAAAATTATTTTAAAATAATTATTTTCTTACTTTAAAAAATATTTTTCTCAAATTTATTATTAAACCCTCTACCGTCACAATTCGGGTCTTGTTATAATCAACTACTGCACAGTGACTCTTGATTTTAACAACTTTTAAAGCACTGCAACTTCCTTCGATAAAAAGTGTCTGACTGTTTTGCGAGCATACACCCCTTCGCGATAAACACTTTCCCGAGATAATCGTGAATCTTGCAACCATCGACTACCGTACAAT